TGGTGCTTCTCGCAGATGCTGCCGGCGCCGTTGCGGGCGCTGGGCGCGTGGCTGTAGGTGTGCTTGTACTCCTCGGCCAGGTCTTTCCCCAGCTTCCAGCGCTGCCACCGCTTCAGCAGCTCTGCCTGCACCTGTGGGCAGCAGCTGTCAGCGTGACCCCGTGGTCACCAGCTGCCTCACCCCCAGTGCCTGCACCCCAGAGTCCCACTCACCTCCTTGTTTACGAAGCAGTAGAGAATGGCCACCAGCATCCCCTGGGCAGAGGAAGGAGAGGCATGAGGTGCACAGCCAGACCCTGGTCGGTCCCTCCTGACTGAGGGTCCCTGCAGAGGGCTGGTCCTGCCAGAACTGGGCTCACCTGGAAGGAGCTCAAGAAGAGGTCAAAGAAGAGCTTGACATAGCGCAGGGTGCCCTGGGCGTGCTCGTCTGTGATGAAGGCGAAGACCACCTCGTGGATGCCCAGCAGTGGGATCAGTGTCAGCGTGGACTTGGCCAACCTGCAGGATGAGGGTCACAGTGTGGACACACACGCAGGAGCACCATGGGCATGCAGGGCAGGCTGAGCCCAGCACCCACCTGAACTTGTAGTCAGTGTAGCGCATCTGGTGCGCACGGAGCTTGGACACGAGGATCTGGATGATGCGGATGAAGATGAAGAAGTTGATCTGCAATGGAACAGAGTGAGCCATGAGAGGCAGGAAGGACAACTCGTCCCCTGGCCTGGGCAGGCCTTCTCACAGCTGTCTCAGGGCCTGCAAGATAGATGCTGAGTGAAGGGCTGTGGTGGGCTCACCAGGATGGCCAGGAACACAGGGAAGCGAAGGATCCACCAGAAGCCCATGTTGTTGTTGGTGGACCAGCACCTGCAAGGGAGAGGGATGGGGACTGCCAGGAAGACCCTTGACCAGGCAGCTGCCAGAGTCTGGTATGGCATTGGCAGCTCTGGCCAAGCAAGTGCCACAGCCTGGCACTCTGGTCCTTGCATGGACAACAGCGTGGAG